CTTCCCAGCAATCAACAAAAAATTCCCTCTACCCCCCTTTAGTATGGTTTCTTTTTCTTAGGCTTTTAGTCATGGTCCTATGCAGTATTTCTCTTTTTGTGACTTACTAATTTCACTCAACATAATGTCCTCAAGGTTCATCCATGTTATGCGGTGGCTTGCCGCTTCCTTGTTATTTCAAGGTAGCATAATATTCCATTGTGTGTATGTACCACAGTTTGTTTATCCATTCTTCAGTTGATAGGCACTTTGGTTGTATCCATCTTTTTGCTATTGTAAATAGTGCTGCTATGAACATTGGTGTATCATTTATTTTTTAAATAATGTCTGCCGTTGTGTCAATCCCCACTCATAGTGACTTTACAGGACAGAGTTGTTGTTAACTGGTTCCTAGTCATAGCAACACGTTGGTTCCTATTCATAGCAACCCTGTACAGGGTTTCCCAGGAGCAACTGGTAGATTTGCACTGATGAACTTGTGGTTAGCAATGCAGTGCTTATCCTACAGGGCCACACCAGGACAGAACAGAACTGCCCTATGGGGTTTACACAATCTTTACAGAAGCAGACCACCACATCTTTGTCCAGCAGAACAGCTGGTGGATACAAAGCAATGAACTTTCAGTTTTCAGTTGAGCACATAATCACTTGCCACTGAGGCTCCTTAGGATATGTAAGTGTTGCTGTTGTTAGGTGCTGCCAGGTCAGTTCTGACTCTTAGTGACCCTATGTACAACAGAACAAAACAATACCTGATCCTGCGCTATCCTCACAATTGATATGTTTGAGCCCATTGTTTCTGCTGCTGTATCAATCCATCTTGTTGGGAGTCTTCCTCATTTACACTGACCCTCCACTTTTTCAAGTTCCTTCTCCAGGGACTGGTCCCTCCTGATAATATGTCCAAAGTACAAGAGACAAAATCACATAATCTTTGCTTCTGAGGAGCTTTCTATATGTACTTCTTCCAAGACAGATTTGTTTGTTCTTCTGGTGGTCCATGGTACTTTGAACATTCTTCTTCAACGCCATAATTCATATGCATCATTTCTTCTATGGTCTTCCTTGCTCATTGTCCAACTTTTGCATGCATATTGTGATTGAAATACTATAGCTTGAGTCAGACATACCTTTGTGCTCAGAGTGACCTCTGTTGAACACAATAAAGGGATCTTTTGCAGTAGATTAGCCCAATGCAATCTGTCATTTGATTTCTTGACTGTTGCTTCTCTGAGTATTGATTGTGGATCCAAGCAAAATAAAAACATTAATATGACTTCTATCTTTTCTCCATTTATCATTATGTTATTTATTGGTCTGGAGTCTTGGTGTGGTGCTGTAGGATAAGTACTGGACTGTTAATCACAAAGTTGTCAGTTGAAATCATCAGCTACTCCTCGGAAAACCTATCAATATCACTATGAGTCAGAACCGACTCGACATCACTTCACAACAACATGTATTGGTCCACTTGTGAAGGTTTTAATTTTCTTTACATTGAGATACAATCCACACTGGAGACTCAAAGTATTTCAAGTCCTCTTTACTTCCAGAAAGCAAAGTTGTGTCATCTGCACATCACAGGTTGTTTATGAATCTTCCTTTGATCCTGATGTC